TCCCCCCTCCTCGCTCCCTCCCTTCCCTCCCCTCACCCTGACCATTTCCCCCCTGCTCGGGTCATGACCCAACTGTGCAGCGCCTTGGGACGTCCTCCTGACGTGAAAGGCACTTTATAAATGGAATCTTGTTGTTGTTGTTGTTGTTGTTGATATCTGACATACATTCTCTCAGGACAGCAGTGATCCTGGAGTCAAGGTTGGAGGCAAAGAGGTACAGTTCGGTATCATCTGCATTCCATCCGGAAGTTGACCCCATGTCTGCGGATGAAGTCACCAAAAGGGAGCATATACATATTGAAGAGGAGGGGACAAGCCCTGAGGAATACCACACAAAACAGTGTGCGGGCTAGAGGAGAAACCGTTAGTGGAGATGAAATGGAGGGGGTGGGAGAGGTACGTTCTGAACCATTCAAGGACAGAACCGAGAAGGTTGAGGTGAGAGGAGAAGCGGTGGATGAAGATAGATTGGTCAATGGTGTTGAAGGCAGCAGAGAGTTCAAGGAGGAAGAGGAGGCAGAGGAAGCCCTGGTTGCAGATGGAAAGAATGTCATTTGTCACTTTGACCAGGGCTGTTTCTGTACTGTTGGCAACACGGAAACCCGATTGGAGGCGTTCTTGAAGGGAGTGGTGGGAGAGGAAGGAGTGAAGCTGGGAAGCAACGACTCATTCCAAGACCTTGGAGAGGAAAGGGAGGTTGAAGATGGGTCCAGGGAGGATTTTTTAAGGATAGGAGTAATGACAGCCGTTTTTAATGGGATGGGAAAAGTACCAGTACCAGTGGACAGGGAGAGGTTTATGATGTCTGTGAGTAGAGGGGCAAGGAGGTGAAGCTTGGAGGTAAGGAGAGGGGTAATGATGTGGTCGAGGGACCAGGTGGTCGGTTTCATGCAGGTAATAGTGGTGGTGAGAGAGGAGTGGGAAACAGGTTCGAAGGTGTGAGGGAGGGATGGAGTAGGGGCCGGGGTGAGATCGGGAAGTTGTAGTAGATGGAAGGGCAGAGGCAGCTGAGCAGATCCCCTCAACTTTGGATTCAAGGAAGTCCAGCATCGCCTCGCAGTTGGCAATGGAGATGAGGATGGGCGAGGCATGAGAGGGTGGGCGGAAGAACCAGTTGGTAATGGAGAAGAGGAGCCTGGGGGTGTCCTTGCCTCCAAGATTGTCTTGGAGTAGAACAACAATTTAATAATAATAATAATCCTTGCATTTGATATAGCGCTTTTCAAGTATACAGAATATACTGTAAAGTGAATTGACTGTATAATTGTGGGCGAACGCGGCAACCAATTGCGCACAGCAATGTCCCACAAACGGTCACGGATTGAAAATGACCAATTTATTATTGTTTTGTTTTTTTGGAGGGATTATTATTTGGCGTGTGGAGTAAGGAAACTTGCCCAAGGTTTCGCCCTGCCTGGAATTGAACTCAGGTTTCTCACTTGCAAAGCGAGTGCTCTAACCACTGAGCTACAGGACTCCAAAGGAGGATATAGCGGAGGAGAGGGCGGTAAGATTTGTTAAGGTCCAGCCAGATCTGCCGATGTACTGTTAATTTTGATTTAAACCAGATTCGTTCAGCGGCATGCAACTGTGCTTAAGGGATCAGAGGTGGCTGGTGTACCATGGTGACTTACGTGAATAGCAGACAGTTCAGGAAGAGAGGGGAGCAAGGGATTCGAAAGTGGAAGAGAGGGAGCTTTGGAAAAGTGTGACCGAAGAGGATAAGTCATTGTGGGAGGAAGCCCAGTGGGGAAGGAGTCCAAAGCAGCCTGGAGGGAGGGGGGTGAGATTTTTTTCCAGGGGCGGTAGAAGATGGAGGTGGGTTAGGTGGCAGTGGGGAGAGGGATTGAGGAGTTAAGGGAGATAAAGTGATGGCCCGAGAATGATATAAAGTGATTTCAGAGCAAGACGTGTAGCAATTATAGATGTTGCTTCTAAAAGCAGAAACCGGGCATAATGACCCACAAAAACGACGTGCAAATCAGCACAAGGTACTTGAAAAATCTGCTCCCAAAGTAAATTGTGTTACAGTGGAGTTCCATTGGATCAGGATGACATGCTGTTAGTTATACACTAATTATTTTGCTCGCCCGTCTTTTCTTACCCTTTTGCAGCTTTAACAAATAGCCAAAGACAGGGTGCGTTCGATCTCTAACCATTTGATGACAAAAGCTAGTTTGGATTGCGCTTATCCTGTCATATTAAAAATTAGCAAGTGATAATTATACCATCGCAGACCACATTTTGCAATCATATTTGACTACTGGATGTTTTACGAGCAGTATAAAGGTGTAAAAAGAAATGGAATGTCTCACCATGTGATCACATCTCGACTATAATGGTTATCCCACAATGTTTCAAGCCTTTTTTATAAATTTAAATAAAAAACGCATAAGAAAGGAGAAGCTGGACGCACATTTGCATTTGTTTTTAAATTGTGTATAATTGCTTTTCAATGCATCGGGGAAAAAACTACAAATGCAATATTCATTAATTCAATTGCTGCTATTCCCTGCTGGAATATGGAAAATTCAGCTAACAGCAAGCACATCTCTTTCAGCTGTAAGTGTAGTTCTCTGTTGATGACCCTGCAGTGAGCTACAAACTGTCATCTTCCTTGCTTAGCCATCATGACAGCTGTGTGTGACATACGGTGCAAAATTCTCTGCTGTGATTATCACAGGAAAACCGAGTTAAGAAAAAAAGTCAAGATTTCCACAAGAAAGCAAATTCATTTCAACAGGTTAGAGTGGTGTTCTTTACAGACCCAATCAGTACAGTTGTTCATTAGGTAATTTGCTAGCTTCTACGTGTGATAGCATATCACCTCTACCAATAAAGCTGTGCATTTGACAAGACCACAAGGCTTGCAGCCTACAAGACGATGTCTGCAGCTTTTGGAAAAACATTTTGTTTCTTGAGAAATGGCAGTTTTATGTCAGTTAAAAGAATTACAGTCTACCATTACTGGTACATACTATTAGGATTCATTCAACTAATGCCTTTCTACTGCATTTTGCATGGGCTCATCAGAGCACATTAAAGTCAAGGGAAGGCAAATCTCACTTTCCCAGACATATTCAGCAGCTGTCACAACTTGACCAAAATAGGACTTTTTATAATTTGCCATAACCACTGCCAGGTATATATTTTTGGAAAATTAGTTTAATCTGGAAAAAAAAAAGATTTTCTGAAAGCTGCATGAATCAAGTATATTTTATGAATCTGTTCTTTCCTGTGAGAAGTTTAGCTCTGGTGCTCTTACAACTGACTCGTACATTGGGGGTTAAAGCTCCACATTGGGACTTTAAACTAACTGTTTAGGCTGTGCCAATATAGTACTAGAGGAGTGCTGGATTGTTGGAGTTCATCCTTTGAATGAAACCACATCCAATCTGTCTGTTGAAATGTATGTTAAAGATTCCTGGCCCTATTTGTTGTTAAAAGTGATGTCTCAGAGGAGATCTTATTGAGTGATTTCAAATGGGGGATTGAAAAAGTAAAGTTTGTGGGACACTGCTGTGCACAACTTAGCTGCTTTGTTCACCTACAAATATACAGTAAATCCTGTGAAGCACTTTGAGATTTTCTGACTACTTCATAATGTACCATAATTAATGCTAAGATTATTATTTGTCTATTCTACTCTAAAGGCTGTTCCTGGGAGGTGCTTTGAAATAATTTCCGCTTTTTGAAGAGGAGCATGTGCCCTATTTCTGACACCACCCAAAGGAGTACAGCTGAGGTGGTAACTCACTGTGTGAGGGCATCCAGGTGTAAAAATGTTTTTCCCATGTTGTACACCATAATGCACCATTGGATACCTCGAACCAAGCAATGTTAATGCAGCGTTCTCAAATAACATATGGTGCCGCATATGAACATAATGCACTTGTTAATATTCATTCCTTTAGGGGCTAAATAAAATTCAAAACAAGATTTCTTGGTTAAGGAATCAATTAGGATTCCTTTCTTTTCTGATAGCTAGCAGTATATGGCACAGGTCACGCAGAATTTTAGGAACTTCACTCTGTCAGAAAAAAATACTAAGATTCATCATGATATATATCATATTGCACATCTATGATTAAAAATAAAATTAAATATAAGGTCTGTAAATTAATCTCCAAGCATAGCTACTCAAAAAAATCAAATCAGAAACCCACAGCAAAACAAATACCTGTATATTGATTTATGGTTTATGTTTTAAAATAACCAACCAAAGTTTAATACCAAGTGTTGTCCCTAGTATTTAAATCATAACTATCCATCCCTCTTTATAGGTTTGAGAATAGAGAGATCAGAGTTATATATTTCAAACACAATTTCAATAAAAATGAATGGAGTCATGTTGATTTGCCTAAAAAAACAGGACTTGACACACAATAGTGCACATTTTCCAACAAATAATTTGGGATATTTTAAGTTTGAGAAGAAACCAATGTAGTTCACTGAATATAATTAAATCTGGCCAACTATGCTCTCAAAGGTTCCAGAGGATTACACTGAACAGCAAAATGCAGCAACACTGTGACCAGTCATAAAACTCAATGTTTACGCACATTATGTTAACAGAGTTACTCTGAGCAGATTTTACAACAAGAAACTGTGTATTCTCCTTTTGAGCAAGTTCTTCAACACAAGTGATTCACAAGTTACAAAATCTTCACCTTAATCACTACTGTACATTCTTCAAGCTTCACTCTTATGCCAAAGTTGATGCTGCATTCATTTCAGTGGAAAAATTATACTGATATCTGGAGATCATATTGAACATAAAATCATACACCAACTCCAGCATAATATAAAAAAGCAAATGACAAAAAAAACAATCACTATTAAAGCTATTAAACTTAATATTAATAGTCTATTGACTCCGGCTTCCATAACGTTCATTAAAGTAGGTATGCAAGTTCATTTCTGGCCAATGTACTTTCTAGTCACAGTGAAAGAATGATCTGATTAATGGCTATGTACATTTTTGTGCTGAATCTGCTTACCTTGGTAGAATAGTTTAAATCCATGTGCGCTGACAGCAAAGTCACTTGTGAGGCGCAATGCAAGTACTGATCCCGTGCTCATTACAGGTGCTGGCATCTGGAAGCCAGTTAACCTGCAGCAAAACAAACCACAAACCATTAAAATATGTGTCACATAATGGACATTTTCCATTAACAGTAGGAACATGCTTTACACTACTAGTATGGACATTAAATAACAGCTCTTCACATATACCGGACATCACAAAACAGGTTTGGATTATTAACTGGGCTGATTTCATTTCACACTTCCAGAATACAGCAAGTTACATTTACACAGCATTTTTTCATGTCGAGAGGACATTTCAAAGCTTTTCAGACAGCTGACTGTGTCACCTAAGCTGATGTATTCTGTGAAGGCACATTGTGGGGCACCCAGAATAAAATGAGATGCCTGTGTAAAACTGTGATCAACTCTTCATCAACATTTGAGAATAATCTATTCAAACTTCCCAGGCTAGCTTTCAACTAAGTATAGAGGAACAAGCTAAATGCAATTGTTACCTGGTATGGTTATGTTGCATGGGTGAAAATTGCAATCTGAAAGTACCTCTTTAAGGGAGGATTCACATTGGGTGTATGTGTGTCCATTTATATTGTACATTTGCTAGGAATTCACAGCCAAAATCATAGTGATTTACCAGCACTCTACCTTAAGATACTAAAGTAAAGTTGTGAAGCGTTGCATAATGCATTATATTTCTATTTCCTTCATAAACCATGCATACTTGTTCTCTGAGCAATTGCAAGCCTAAAGTGGCAAATTATTGAACATAAGAACATTATGTTCTTATGTTCTTCTTAATGAACACTTTTGAACACACACATTTGGAAATGGCTTGTAATAGCTTAAAAGTGATTAACACCAGATCTCAATTCACTTTACAGTATATTCTATGAAGTACTTTGAGACGTCTAGCAGACTTGAAAAGTGCTATATCAAATGCAAGGATTATTATTATTACAGATAGAAGAAAAGAAAGGCTTTCATTCCCATCAGTTTCCTTAAGATTTTCTTAAGTTCTAGTTAATGAAAGCAACGTGTGAAAAACTTATTGGGGTTAAAACAAATTCCGAGCCACATGGTACTGAAGTATAGAGGTCTGGACCGTAGTCATAGAGATTTATTTTGCGCCAAACTGAATTTTTTTTTAGTGTTAGTCACTAGCTGGGATCATAGGTAATTAGAAGCCATTTACAGAAAAAAACTATGAAACCTGATTCAACAAATAAAATAAGGTGATATTTGCGGCCTGGCTGTACTCACTGCATATAAACATCAACTTGCATTTATATAACGCCCTTCACGTAGGGGATTGGATAAAGGTGATGCACTGAGCCAGTTTTGCCAATGGTTCCAAGATACCCTGCTTAACGACAGTATTTACTGAGCATAAGGACATTGTTTTGATAAGATTAATGGAACATAAGGTTTAAGGCATAGCTTCAAACACACCCACATATTGCATTGTGTCCTCAAAACTGGGATAATGGAGGAATGAAGAAATGACTCTACATGGTTTCCTCTCAGAGGCAAGTGCTAAACTGGGGGTAGGTGGAGGGTTTGCAGAGGTCTCGGCAGCTGCAGGAACAGTAGAGGAAGTCACAGTTTGTTGCACTACTGAAGCTTGTACATTTTCCATCTCATAGTCTCTAGGTGAAATTGCAAATGTAATTTCTTTTTTCCCCCTCAAATCATGGGCAGTTTGGGTACCATGCACAAATCCACAAAGAAGCACAAACATTTGCCTAGCTTAATTGGTAGCACCAGTTCTGTGGGTTCAACCCCTACATTGGGAATTTGACTCAATCTAGGCTGACACTCGCAGTGCAATGCTACACTGTTGGAAGATCCATCCTTTGGGTGAGACATTACGGCTGATGTTCCAATATAGTGCAGGGTGCAGCTGTTTTGTCGGAAGTGCCATCCTGCAGATGAGAAGTTAAATCAGCCTGTTTGTTCAGATGGATGTTAAAGATCCCATGACACTATTAGAACAGCAGAGAAAGTTTGTCTTGGTGTTTTGGCCAACAATCCCTTAAATAAAATTATTCATTTTATGGCTTTTTGATTATTGATTTGATGTCTATAAACATACTTTCAAGTGAGCACCATATATTCGTACTTAAACGGTTTAAGTTTCTTAATTCAAGAATAATTTAAAAAGTAGGAATATCGTTTTGTGCAATTCAAATCTGCGCAGGAATGTAATTGCTTCACAGACCTGGGACATGGAGAATCTGAAAGACATATGTTCTATTAAGTGGTGGTATTTTAAAATTACCAAATATCAAAATCAATTATCTCACAATTTGCCTTTGCATGTTGCCTACATTTCCACTGATTTTATAAGAAAAGTACTTTTTTCCTTGTGTCTCCTGGTAGCTGCAGAATAAATGTCAGACAAAGGACCAACCTGCATTATCACAGTTTGCATCTGAACTGATACTGAGACAAAGGCCAATTTCTAACTCCGTGAATCCATTTTATTCAATGGCACGAAGAGTAGGGTAGCGCTGTGGGATGAATACTAAAGCCCTCATTTAATTGTATTTGTGCAATGCATTCACACCAGCACAGCAGGAATTATGGCAGAATGCCCAAAAGACCTCATATGTTGCAGGAAGCATACGATTCTTCGCTCCTCTCTCCATTCTCACCCTTTCGTCTGAAGGATTGAATATTTAAAATCATTGTCCAAAATCACAGACTTCATTCACAAGCTAATGTATTGTTTCTATTTTTTTTTTAATTTAGAAACACAGCACTGTTAGAAATTGATAAATTTAAGCACTGTGTAGTACATGGTTCGCATCACATTAATGTTTTACATAAATTGTCATTCACTTCATGATTGTGGGGCACTGTGCAAACTGGCTGGCACATTTACTTACAAAATACAGTCACTACATTTTACAGTAAATTTTGTGAAGTGCTGTGAGATGGCCTCCTAACACGAAATATGCTATATCAAAAGCCAGGAGCATTATTATTAATTATTATTATTAACAGCCCCACCCAGTTTACATTTGCACCTTTATCGTGCACAGTGATGCCACTAAATAATTCTTGTGGATGCCACTAGAAACAAATAGGTACAAGGTGTCATCCACATAATGGTATTTATGGATGTATATTGGGGAGAAAGGGGAAAAGTAATGTGAAATTCAATATTTGTTTCTGTATTCTGGGACAGTGATTGGTAGAAACATTGTACAAAGGAAGAAAAAATGTTTTTAAATGGAGGAGAATCAACATTTTGTGACATTATGGCTTTGGAAAGTCAGATAATCCCCAGAGTTCTAAAGGTTTGTTCAAGAAAAAATGTCTGCGTCCATACTCAATATAACCCTCCAGCCTCCTCATCTGCTTTCCTAATCTTCTCTATATCCTTCTCCCTTACATATGCATTGTTTCCTCTAAAATACACTGATGCTTTTGGCTTCAACCATACCTTCCGGCACATGTTCCACAGTCTCACCTCAATCTGTGTGAAGAAGTTCCTCCTAAACTCTCTTTTACTTCTACTACTGTTATATTTATTCCCTCTTGTTTTGGACTGACCATTAAGGGCAAACAACCTATTAACATCCATCTTATCAAATCCTTTCATCTTCTTAAATATCTCAATTGTTTCACTTCTAGAAACAAAAGCTCTAATTGTTTCTGTTAGCTGTATCCACTCAACCCTTGGAACATCCTTATAAATCTACACTCCTACAAAATCCTTCTTGTAGCACGACAAATATTACTTCAAATATGATCTAACCAAGATACATTTTAAAGTTTAACATTTTCCTCATTATGTATTTTATTCTTCTAGGCGTAAAGCCAAGGACACAAATTGAACAGCATGCTTCCATTCTATAATGTTCTATGCAAGAATCTACATTCTTTGTAATTCAGTATAGTGACTGTATTTGTAGGCAAACATGTCAGTCAATTTGTGAAGTGTCCCACAAGCAAACATGAAGTGAATCATAAATTTTATCCAGAAGATTGTTGGCCTGGATACTGTGAGAAATGTTCTTTTTTGGAAGAGTGTCATTGGATCTTTAATGGCCTCTTCCTTTTTAGATAATAATAATAATCCTTACATTATTATTAAGTATAATTAAGTATTCTGAATGAGTGGCTGATGCCTAACCCTAAAAGATGGAACACTGCATGTACATTTAAATGAATAAGGCACTTCCAGAGGTCCATTATGTGTCTGACATATGGGAAAAATTATCACTATAATTAAGAGTATCCACATTTGCGTGCCACTTAAGCATGGACTTTTCCCAGTGTCTGGAATGCAATGTACATTCTCTTCCCACTTTCCATTGCTTGTTCAGCTAGGATCAACCTGAGGCATGTGGGAAGAAAGTCTTCCCCCAATGACTAGTCTGCCCCTCTAAGTCCTGCTGCCAAGCATGTCACTGTATAGCCATCTCAGCCCCAAATAGACCCTAGTGCCTCTCCTCGACTATCTCAGGTTACCAGTAGAAGTTCCCAAATATTAGCTCTGTCCACCTTTTCAGTTGGTAGTACTTGAAAGGCAGTATAGAAATTGTTGTTTTTGTAGTTTTGTGTATTGTTAAAGTTGTGTTGCATGCTTTACAGTAAATTCATTCTCTTTATTGTCAGTTTGATGGTCCAAAGTTAAATTTTAAAAAATCCAAAATAAATGGTAACCATTACTTAGAGATCTAGGTAATGGTAAGAAATCTTCTTTCGTGGCTAGAATTAACCTTTCAAATATATCCCACAAATTACTTAACTTAATAAATTCATAAACACAGTATGTAATCAGGTTATTACCCGGTCCTAAATATAAAACGTTTGATAAGAAATTACTATTTGTAAGTACAGTATTTATCTTTTCAATTCACTTTGTTTGCAAATACTGATAGCAATGGTAATACATAACTTAGTTCTAAGTTCTAAGTTAGCATTTACGGTGTTAATGTTTGCCTGATTCATCATTATTGCATATTAAAAAGTAAACATTACAATTTGTGATGCATTTTCTATGATAAATCGTTATATCTTTTTCTCAAATATTTTTCAGCAGCAGACTGTATTTTA